TGTTTTGAATTGTGCAAATATATATTTATAAAGTGTAAAAAAGTTTCAACAACCTTAAAAATCAAATATCGGCCTATATTAAAAGCAAAAAGGTGACAAAATCCATTAAGTCTGTGAACATAGTAAACAAAATATAGGGGAAAAATGGTGATAAAAAAATTAAGTCCCTAACCCTAAAAAAATTGGAAGAAAATTGAAGTCCAAAAACATAGTAAAAAAATAGGAAGAAAATGGCAGAGAAAAATCTAAGTCCAAAAACATAGTAAAAAAATAGGAAGAAAATGGCAGAGAAAAATATAAGTCCAAAAACATAGTAAAAAAATAAGAAGAAAATGAGTAAGAAAATCTAAGTCCAGAAACATAGTAAAAAAATAGGAAGAAAATGAGTAAGAAAATCAAAGTCCAGAAACATAGTAAAAAAATAGGAAGAAAATGGCAGAGAAAAATTTAAGTCCAAAAACATAGTAAAAAAATAGGAAGAAAATGGCAGAGAAAAATCCAAGTCCAAAAACATAATAAAAAAATAGGAAGAAAATGGCAGAGAAAATATAAGTCCAAAAACATAGTAAAAAAATAGGAAGAAAATGGCAGAGAAAAATCTAAGTACAAAAACATAGTAAAAAAATAGGAAGAAAATGAGTAAGAAAAATCAAAGTCCAGAAACATAGTAAAAAAATAGGAAGAAAATGGCAGAGAAAATATAAGTACAAAACATAGCCAAATAGGAAGAAAATGGGTGAAAAAGGGCAAAGTCCAGAAACAAAGTGAAAATATAGGACGAAATCTGGTGACAAAAAATCTAAGTCGAAAAGAATAGGGAAAAAATAGTAAGAAATAGGTTAAAAATAGGAAGAAAATGGCAGAAAAAATCTAAGTCCCAAAACATAGTAAAAAAATAGGAAGAAAATGGGTGAAAAAATCAAAGTCCAGAAACATAGTGAAAAAATAGGACAAAATCTGGTGACAAAAAAACTAAGTCGAAAAGAATAGGGAAAAAATAGTAAGAAATAGGTAAAAAATAGGAAGAAAATGGCAGAAAAAAATCCAAGTCCAAAAACATAGTAAAAAAATAGGAAGAAATAGGTAAAAAATAGTTATCAAACCACCAATTCCTAGAAATAGAAAAAAAATAGGCTGTCATATGCTATTTTTAATCTATTTTTAATAAAAAATAGTGTTTAAATAGGGTACATTCACATAAAAATAGGAAATAAATAGTGAAAAATAGGAAAAAAATATATTTTTCCAGAGCCCATTTTGACTAGGGTCGGGACCCGCCATTTTCTTCGAGGGCTTGGTGATAGCTCTATGGCTATGGCTATAGGGATGCGAGAGCCAGCGACTCTCCAAGAAGCTCGGGAGATTGCTGAGCGATTTCACCATCTCCAAGAGGAATCCGGCAGAGGAGCTCGACAAATCCGATCGGTGTCAGCGACGTCAGAGGACGCGGTGACCAATGAAAAGTATATTGAGTTAAGGCGCCGCATCATCTCCATTGATGAGCGAATCGAACAACTAACTAAACTTTTTCAGCAGCCGCCACGAGATGATCCAGAACGACCAGTTAGACAGCCGAGAGAACAGCAAACTCGTGATCGACCACCACCTCGTTGCTATAATTGTCAGAAGCTTGGTCATCTTGCCCGTAACTGTCGTGTACCACCCCAAAATGGTGGCCAAATTCCTGTACCCCAGTATGTTAGCAGTCGACCGAACTGGGTGCCGCAACAACCGCCACCACCTCCACAATGGCAGCAACCTCTTCCTTTTCAGCCGCAACCGCCGCAGCAACAATTCCCACCACCCCGGCAATGGCAGCCACACGTACCATTCCAGCCGCAACCACCGCAGCAACAACGGGCAGCAGAACCAGCCATGGACAATACTTCGGGAAACTAAACAGGGCCGACCTCATCGTCCAGGTCGAGGCCGGCCATGGAGTTAAATCGGGCCCTAGAATAATTCGCATTGATTAATCGAACGGACTAACAGCGTATATCACAGGAAATGTGAATGGGGCCTCGTGCAAACTTTTGGTCGATTCTGGGGCAGCAGTGACAGTTATGTCGATAAAACTGTATGAACAAATGCCCACCGAAACTCGCCCAAAATTAATCCCCTTGTCGGATCATGTTCAGCTCCAGTCAGCGGATAAAGGAATTCTAAATATACATGGAATTATTGGAGCAACTGTGAATGTTGGTTCTAAAGATTTTGAATGGAATGCATACATTGCAGATATAAGTGATGAAGGTCTGATTGGTTTTGATTTTATGCACCATTTTAATTGTACCCTCGAGGCCAGACGTGGGCTTCATATTGATAATATTTTGATTCCAATCGAACTTCAGGACTGTAATTCTATTAGAAGTGCAGTTTATGTGAAATATGATGTTGTGGTGCCGCCCAGATGTGAGTTCATGCAGGGAAGATAGACAATTGTGATATTGATTCCCAAGCATGTGCTATTATTGAGCAAACCGCTCATGAGTGGAATATAAAGAATCTTCATGTCGCGGGATGTCTCATCGAATAGATGTAACTCGGAATGATATTGACATACCAGTGCGAGTCGTTAACACATCAAGTGAAGAAATTAATCTTCATGCTGGAATGCGAATAGGTTCAATGGAATTAATCAGTGATGTATGTGATATGTGTAACAATGATGTAGTCAAGAGTTCAAACCCCAGCATTCGAACAGTAAAGGCTGATTCGAGTAAAGAGGTTTCGCAAAAGAGCTGGCCAGATGACTTACAGACATTATATCAGAAATCATGTGAAGGATTAGACCCGCATACACAGGATCAGTTATTTGCCTTGCTGGATAAACATTCATCTACAATTGCATCTTCTTCTACTGATATTGGACGAACCTCCATTGTTCAGCACAGCATTGACACTGGAGATGCAGCTCCAAACAAGCAGCGACCTCGTCGCCCACCTCGAGCATTCATAGATGAGGAGGAGAAAATAATCGAGACACAACTGCAAATGGGCATCATTCGGGAATCAACGAGTGCTTGGTCGAGCCCGCTTGTGTATGTCAAGAAGCGTGACGGCACGACCCGGCCCTGCGTTGACTACCGAAAACTAAATGACGTCACAAGAAAGGATGCCTATCCACTACCTCGCATAGAAGACTGCCTAGATTGCTTAGGAGGTGCACAAATCTTCTCAACTTTAGACTTACAGTCAGGTTACTGGCAGATAGACATTAAAGAGGAGGACCGTCACGAAACAGCATTTAGTACACGGACTGGACACTACGAATATGTCACGATGCCATTTGGACTATGCAATGCTCCTGGCACATTCGAGCGTGCAATGGAACTCATCATGAAAGGCCTTCAGTGGCGAACCTTGATTTTATATCTTGACGACATCATTGTTATGAGCTCGACTATTGGGGAGCACATCAACCGTCTCGACGAGGTTCTCGGGCGCCTTGGACAAGCAGGACTTAAGCTAAAGCCAAGTAAGTGTCATCTCTTCCAAACTGAAGTATCTTACCTTGGACATGTTGTTAGCGCGGCTGGCATCAGGCCTGACCCGGGAAAAGTTGAACAAGTGCGGAACTGGCCGACACCGACATCGATAAGCGATGTCCGTTCTTTCCTTGGTTTGTGCTCCTACTATCGCCGGTTCATCCGTGGATTTTCGACAATTGCGGCTCCTTTGAACAGGCTACTTGAAAAATCTAGTAAATCCAGTGGAATGACGACTGTAAATCAGCCTTGGAACAATTGAAAAACGTACTGGTTAGCGACAACGTCATGGCCTACCCCGATGACCACGGCATGTTTATTCTTGATGCCGACGCATCTAATAGGCGCGGTCTTATCTCAAATCCAGTGGGATGACGTCACCCAACGAGAAGTTGAGAGACCAGTCGCTTTTGCTAGCCGGACATTGACCAAAACTCAACGCCGATATTGCACTACACGACGGGAATTGTTGGCAATCGTCTCGTTAGTTCGTCATTTTCGACATTACCTACTTGGGAGGAAATTTCTTGTGCGCACAGATCATTCTTCCCTTAGATGGATTATGTCATTTCGCGAACCTACAGATCAGCTTGCCCGGTGGATCGAGATTCTCAGCCAGTTCGACTTTGACATCGAACATCGTGCTGGCAGGAATCATGGTAATGCAGACGCAATGTCTCGAATACCATGTGATCCAGAATCATGTGACTGTTATGACAAAGAATCTATCATTGAACAATTGCCATGCGGTGGATGTACAACATGTGTGAAGCGGCACAAGGCCTGGGCACAGTTCTTCGACGAGGACGACGATGTTGTTCCCGTTACCCATATGAGAGTGCAGCAAACACGCTTGAAATCAGTAAGTGACTACAGCGACCAGACGCCGCCATTGAAACCAGAGGACTCGAGCCATTCAAGTCGACTCTCTAATATCGTCACCATGATATTAGTCGTAGTCGTATTCGTGGTTAAGATGTTTTGTCGACTTAGTGTGACAAGCCTGTCATCACAGTATTTGAAGCGAGAGTACTTTACGAAGGGGATAGAGAGCCAACCTGTTCAGAAATGGTCTCCTGTCATGTTAGTCTATCTTTTTAGCCTGTTCTAACGCCTGCTGTATTATTTTGCCTCTCTGATTCGCAAGACAATCTCTTTTATCCATCCTTGTAAATGTGTTTGGGTTTGCTGTAATAAACTCTTCAACTGTAATTCCTGCCTCTTGAGTGTTTATTCTCCCTGAATCTCGGCCATCCCTAACAACTAAACTTCAACATATAACGGGGCTAATATATTTTGGGACTTTTACTTCCTATCGTCGACCAATATAAGTCGCCGTTACAGTATCATCATTTTTATCTCCATTATCATGTGATTATCATTATCTTAATCATTAACCTTATTATTGTTCTATAATCGTCATCATTGTTGTTATCATTATTACTAAAAGGTTTGTGAAGGGATCCTTGTACATTTTTCAACAATATATACTTGATTTACTTTATTATACAGGCGAAGAGCAGTAGAATCGAACGTCACGGAGATTCCTTTAACAGGGACTGAAAAATGAGCTTTGTTCTTATGGGCCTAGCTATTGCAGAAAATGAGCTGCAGCCTTTTAGACCCCGCCCTCACTAGGGCGTTTTAGCAACGAGACGGAAGACAAAAACGACGGGAGAAATCACTCAACCTAGATCGTCCTGTACTATGCTCCCGTCTTCATCTGTAACCTGTATACTTATTCTTAAAGACTCGAAGTCTTGCGTTCTATCAGGGAATTTCGACACCATTCGGTTATTTACTCGATGTCAGGTGTATGCCAGTAAATGAGAGAGGTCATCACATATTCATGAGAAACAGGTCTTATGTAAATATTGGTGACATTGCATATCAACTTAATTTTTGGGATAACGTGACTCTGTGAAACGTGGCAAAATGAATATAATCACAGCATTTCACTCTGTCTCTACTAATATTATATGTATTAAAATATTCGTTTTGTATTTCTTGTGATAATCATGATTATTGTGTGACCATTATATTTTGTTTGAATATTTGTCTAATATTTGGGGATGTGGAATTTGTCGAATTTTAATGTTAATAAAGAACCATGTGGGACGGAGGGTAAAAAAAAACTATATCTGGAAGAAAGGAGGTCCTTTTTCATGTGACTGATAGAATTCGATTGTAAATAAAATATGTTACATTTAAATATCCCCCCTGAAATGTATTGCACCTGTACATATTCACTCATAATTTCTTTCGCTTTCTGGATTTTTGTTTTATATGATGTATGTATTTGAATTGTTATATTCTTATATTGGTGGCCTTTATTTTGTAACTGTAATAGTTTTATACTGATCATTTATGGATATTTTGTATTATTTTTGTTAATACCTATCAATAAATAAGGATCTGAATCTTAATCATTCACGCCCGTCGATTTTGTTTTATGTATTCTTTTTTTAAATACTGATTTAAATTTACATGTATTTGCCGAATAGGGATTTCTGTATGGCCTTTTTGAACAAAAAGTGTTACATATGGACTGTTGGTCATAATGGTGGAATAATTATTTTTACCCCAATTTATGGAATGATTTTGACAATGATTTACTCCTAATAGATCTAGATAATATTATACATTCTCAGATTTTATTGAATAATAAATTATACGGCTCCCTCACTGGCCCCTCAAGAGCCCCGGGGATATGCACAACACCGGGTGTCTGCCGTCCAGGGGCCATTTGAAATGAATATTGCCCGTGCGGGCCCCTCACGGCGGCATCTCAAAATGTACAACGCAGCTTTAAGGACAGGAGGTGCGAATGTCAGAGGATACATAGTTCAGTGCCCCGCACGGCACCCGCCCGGGCGCCTTGAGGACCCCGGCCTGTCAGATTATTATTATTATTATTATTCGTCAGCACTTCTTACCACAAATTTGGACAAATTATCATACAAATTTAGACCCCGATTGGCCGCCGTTTTTATACACCGTAATACTATGTCCCCTAGTTGATTAGCATTGTAGCATACACATGCTTTAGCAGTCACGCCAAACAAACACTCACAAATTATTATTCAATAAAATCTGAGAACGTATACTATTATATAGATCTATTAGGAATAAATCATTGTCAAAATCATTCCATAAATTGGGGTAAAAAAATTATTCCACCATTATGGCCAACAGTGTATAATAACAATAATTATAATGATTATTATAATAATATCAATAATAATGATAATACCAATAGTATTAATGAATTGATAGATTAAAATTATCACCATTAATGATATCAAAGTCACACGTATAATTGGCTTAATCCTATATAGGGAATGTTTAAAGTTCCACCGTTGACGTGGCCCTATAGTCAATCTGCCCAAAGGCGCTGGAAGGTACCCACTTACTACACTTTAGTGGAATGTAATCAAAGGCAGATTAATGTCTTGACCATGGACACTAGCGTCGCGACTGGGACTCGACCCGCAAACCATGAGACTCACGGTCCACAAAAATATCCACTGCTAGAAGACCAAGACACCTTGTTTTGTTATCATTATTATAATTTCATGTAAGTTTCTCTTTATTTATCAATCTGTGTTCGTTTCTCAAGGGTTAAAAGGAAATACCGCAAATACAGTTGTTACAAGTATGTGTAACATCACTTGTTTTATTACGTAATAGTAGTGATCTTAAAAGTTATGCAATGCATTTATATGTAGGTATGCTCAAATTTGTTAATGGTTGATTTTTAAAAGCACATTCATTTACATTAACGAAGATCCTTGGAAGACAGTAATTAAGAGCAGTGAGAATAAGAGCGACAAACAATGAAATCATCTTCCCTCGTAATTAAGTACACGAAGGTATGATCAACAAAGGCCCCTTTCCAAATAGATTCAAGCTGAAAACCACTTAGGCCTTATTTGTAATCAACACTAGAGTGGCGAAAAAGAAAAAGGCCACTAATTATCTTTTGGGGGCATCCATTCTGAAATGAATGCTTTCCATAGTTGTGGATTGATGCATTTGTACCGACCGAGAAATGTTTGTTGTAATGATACTTTATTTCCTCGATCACCAACAAAATTAGAACAGTGAATGGATGTTTTATGAAACAGCTCCTACTTACTTAGATATTTCAACGTGCTGGAATTAAAATTTGTTTGTGTGGTGTTATTAATACCATGAATGCAACGCCAAGTAATTATGATCATCAATTTTTCTAAATCGCCATTATCATTTTCTATCAAGAAAGGCTGTATTTTATCAAGTCTAAGCAACGCACATCCTTTGTAAACATTCGAAGAGCAGTCTTGACATCGATAGAGGACTTAGCTGATTCAATGACTTCCAATATTCATTGAATATTTTGGGAGACGATTCCTACTCATTCATTCAGCGTACTGGAAATCGAATTTGTTTGTTTGGTGTAGGCGTCAAAAGGACCAAGAGAGCAACGCGAAGTAATTCAAACTTTTTATCTAATTGTCTTGACTCTTGAATCGTGTGGGTGACAGCTCTTACAAAATCCTTTCAACACACTGAATTCGAATTTTGTCGGTGACCAAGAGAGCAACGCGAAGAACTTCAAACTGTGTATCTAATTGTCTTGAATATTGTGGGAGACAGCTCTTACAGAATCCTTTCAACAAACTGAATTCGAATTTTGTCGGTGTGAACTTGATATCAAAAGGATCATGAATGAAACTCCAAATAATTCAAATTTGTCAGTTAACTCCTCTATTCTGGATGAATATGATCAAAGATTTCCTATATTTCTTGCAGCATTGGGTTATAGCTATGTCATATTAAACATTCTCTCCTGTCTCGGGTCTACGTTGACTATGACTTGCATCCTGTTCAATAAGAAACTGAGAAAACCGACCAACATTATACCCTTCAACATCATTCTTTGTGATTTCATCTCGGTTCTTACACATTGCGTTCTTTACCTTGTAAGTCTAATAATAGTAATAACATTTCCCAAAGAATTTTTTCTATTTTATCAAAAAAATATTATAAACAATTGCATAATAATCTATGAGTTAATGATATAACGACCAATATGAGGCACTCTCGCAATACTTGAGTTTCATTACAAGCATTCATCAAATTTAAGTAATGTTGATCTTTATATACTTTGTTACGCAATGACATGGAAGGTCAATTTTGGTCATTCCGTAACAAAGCTATCTAAAATATAATACTTTATCAATTTAATGAATAATAATAATAATAATAATGATTAAATTTGTCAATTTAATGAATGGCTGGTAGGAAAAATAAAAGTGAAAGTACGTAATTTATTTCATAATTAATTATTAAATCATTTATTTTATCAATACTTGGTACATTTTTATTAAACTGTAAAAAGATAAAATCAGAATTTGACGTTGGCCGACGTCGGAAAATGACGCTGGGCCAACATTGGACTGGTGGACATTTTAACATCGGGCCGAATCAGAATTTGATGTTGACTTAACGTCAAAAAGTTTATGTTGAACCAACGTGAGAATTTGATGTTGGCATAACCGTAATTTGGGAAATAACTTCGGGCCAACATAGGGCTGACGGTCATTTTAACATCGGGCCAATGTCAACGCCTCATGGTACATTGGCCCAACGTTTGGCTGATGTCGTATTGCTAACTGGTATAGTCTGTTTCAGTGAGCCAAATTGGGGCATCCGGAATTAAACCAAGTTTCTTCACCACACATCATGCCATTGTCAATATGCAGTATCTAATCGGAGGATTGATTCTAGGCCGGAGTTCTGACCATGACAAATATAGACCTCCGTTTCACCTTTGAGACCAGCAGACTTCAACCATTTACAATCATTTTATTGTGCTTTTTTTTTTGTCCAGAAACTGCCGATGTGGTTGTTTCTCATGACGGCAGTGTGTTTCCCCGGTAGTTTTTTAGTTCTTTTTCGGAAGAACATTTCGATCATTATTTTTCACCATCACCCTACGTTAATTAACTAGTTTTAGCTGATTTTTTGCCAGAATCCTGAAGGCTTGTGCACTGGAAATGTAGATAGCCTGGTTTTTGTCATGGTCATAAGACATACGTGTCAGTATAGGAGGGTTAGATATGTGTGGGATAGATTGGTGTATATACTGTCATCTCAACCTGCTGCATAAAATTAATGCTTTTTAGCAGCCTTCATGCCAGGGCCTGCAGAACGGCAGGGTTCGGAGGCTCGATCAAGCCCCTCACTTTTAAAAAAAAGTATGTTAAAGAGAATCAGAAAGAAAGAGAGAAAAAAATGAAGTATCAAAATATGCTCATCTGACGTAATTAAATGCCTAAACCCCCTGAGCTTACGGGCGTTCCGCCCCCTGGACCACACCGGGGACCCTAAGGCGGGCCCCTGGATGCTCATCTGACCGTAATTAAATACCTCAAACCCCTGGGCTTCCGGTGGCTCTGCCCATGGACCCCACCAAGGCTCTAAGGGGTGCCACTGGTGGCTTATCTGATCATAATGTAATGCCTTAAACCCACGAGCTTCATCGGGCACAGCCAATTATTGACCTGCCAGTGTCACAGATAAGGTATCTAAATATGCTTATTTGACCCTTATATAATGCCTTAAACCCTGAGCTTCCGGGGGCTCCGCGCCTGGACCCCACGTCAATTTATGCTCCACTCGCTTTGTTTGCTACAATATATCCCCTCGTTTTCAGTTCTTAGCCCTACGTCTCTGGAACAACTCCCCTCGTTCTTAAAGGGAGTGGGTAGTCAGTTTCCATGTGCAGAAGGCTATAATTCGCTGACACCAGACTTGGTGGAAATACCATTAATGGGAGTACAAATCTGCACACAGCAAACCCGTTGGCCCATCAAGAATTACCCCCTAGTCTCTCGGAGCATGCTCGGAGATTATTCGGGTGAAGGAAAAGCAAAGCATTACATAAGGTATAATGGTCATAAAACTCTAGGCTAACCCTGGTGATTGACAACACCTGTTATTTGGGTAAACACCCGAACGGTGTCGAATTCCCCATGAGAGTAGCCTCTTGTCGATGCCCTCGCGCTGTTGGAGTCTCTAAATTCTGACGAGCGAAGCGAGTCAGAGAAACCGAGGCGCTTGCGCGGAGGGCCTCTTAGTCCAGCCTCTGTACCGTTTTCGTTTAGCGCACCCAATCAGCTGATAAATAACACACCCTCAACGTTGAAAGTAGACCTAGCCATTTCTCTAAATCTGGGTCCTGAACAAGTCGTTCGTAAAGTCATGCGTAACTTTACGAACAGCATTATGAAACACCCCCCCCCCCCCAGTTCAATCTTGTGACATTCAGTCCAAATCTGTTCTTCTTAAGTAAGATATA